GTGTGTGTGTGTGTGTGTGTGTGTGTGTGTGTGTGTGTGTGTGTGTGAGAGAGAGAGAGAGAGAGAGAGAGAGAGAGAGAGAGAGAAAGAGAGAACTCTTTTCAATCGCTTGATAAAAAAAGCTAGAGATAAAACGTGTCCTTTTTAACGATCTGATGATATCACGTTGTAGAATATATGACTTCGATCCTTAGCGCTATCTCTCCATCCTCTGCTTCATTCGTTGTAAATGCGTGGATCTTTTCAACCGCACTTGAATATTCTACCAACAAAGCCAGAAAACTATCGAAAAATGAAAAATCGAAAACTTGAATCTCGTATCTTATATTTGGACAATATATACCTTGATGTAAAATATAAATATCCTGTAAATATAAATATTCAATTTCCAACGATATACATTATCTTTTTATACACACGCGTACAAATTTAAAACAAATTGGGGGATCGTGCATATGAAATCAATTTATTCCATTAATATCGTATGGGACAGGTTTCACGGCACTTGTGTGCATCAAGCATCTGCGCTTCTATTTATACGACGCACTTTCGCAAGAGCGTAAAGTCGCTAGAAAAATATCCTGAAATAAACACTCGCGCGTCCGATCTTATACTCCATCCAAAGGATTAAAGTTTTCAAATATATCCGAGTTTATTTCGATGATTCTTTACACCGATCAAGAATGCACCTCTGGCCAGGGCCGATATATCACGATGCGAAGGTGATAAATTTACTAGCGTGGCATATCATCCTCTCTCTATCGTGGCAAATTTCATCTCTTATTGTACACGAATAACGAACACGTAGTTTCATTTGGTGAAAATAGTTTTGCTGAATCCACATACATGCACGTGTGCGCGCGCGCCCACACACACACACACACACACACACTCTTTCTCTCTCTCTGTCTCTCTCTCTCTCTCTCTCTCTCTCTCTCTCTTTCTCTTTCAAGTTTCTCTATAATAAACTTTGATTTTCGTCTTCTCATTAAAGCGGTAATGACTTTCCTACAACAGTAAAATGCTGCAGATAGACAATTTTGTTTCAACGGAACATTTTTACGAATAAATTTTCGTCGGCAATATCTATTCTATAGACAAAATGGATTATACTGCGATATTACATTAGTTTGCGACAGCGAACTTTTGTCGCGTTCGCATCGAATATACAGTAATAGCGAGAGTTACACGCGGCAGCGTTTTGCCCGCGCGCACGCGAACGGTCCGTCAGCTACTTGTCAGCTTTCTAATTATCCAACATAATCACTTTGTTACGATCAACATTGCAGCCAGATATGGGAATATGTTGAATCACTGATATAGAATGAATCACTTACATGGCCTAAACTAGCCAGCACCCTCTTGCAAATCCGTCGGCGATCCTTTGCGGAGGCTGCGGCCCGCGGTTGCGGCGGAATTTTTGAAAGATGCAGCGACGGAGCGGAGAGGAGCGACAAAGCCGACGAAGGTCACCGGTAATCGGTGGATTCGATGGCGCACAGTGGTACCCCCTTCGCGAAACGCGGAATTGTATGTTCCGCAGTACAGTGCCGCGTACGGAATAATCAGATGGATTCGATAGACTCTCCCACCGCTTTCCGCAACTTTTCAATCTCGCCCTTCTCCCCACTTATTCCTACTTTCCTCTTCCGTCGTTCCATTTTCTTTCCTCAATCTATTTAGGCTCTGTATAGATGATCTCTTTCCGTCTCTCGTCACCACCCTCTCTTCCTTGCACCTGCAATCAGGGTCGGATTTTTCAACATACGTTTGAATTATTAAATCATTTGAGATTTTTAGTATTTTTCTGATAAAGGTTGAGAAAAAAGTGAAAAAGAAGTGAAGAATCTTAGGGAAGAATTAAGTTTGTTGTGTTATTACAGTTGTACGCCCTTTTATGTATATGTATATATGTACACAGGCACACGCACACGCGCACGCACACACACACACACACACACACACACACACACACACACACACACACGCTCGCGCGTCACAGTAAAAGCATGAAATCAGTAAATGTATACACTTACTAGTCAATGTATACATTTATTAAATTTTATGTTTTAAATTTATATCTTATTTTAATAAACAATATCATTATCACAATGATACAGATTGGGTTGGGTTAGATCAGTTAGGGCTGCGCCCTCCACCCTTCTCGCTACACTCATACTTATAAATTAGAGCTCTTGTAAGTGTATACATTTACTGAATTTCACGCTTTTACTGTAACATTGTATATTCCTACTCTTACTATTTATCTTAATTCTTATTTTTTGATACATTTTTCAGTCGTAAGAGAGAAAAGCGGGGAATACTTGGTTTGTACAGGGGAAAAATGTCGCGCGCGCGCGCGCGCGCGCGAGAGAGAGAGAGAGAGAGAGAGAGAGAGAGAGAGAGAGAGAGAGAG